GGGAGGAAGGGGTTAAGTTTATTTTTCAGGGAAGGGTTATCTGTGTGAGGGGGAGTGTTTTACTAGGGGGCGGGGGGGGTGTGTACTGCAGGGGACACGGCTGATCGGGAGAGTGAAACTCCTCTGTCCCGATCACCGTGTCCTGGAGCTGTCAGGGAAGTGACAGAAAGCACAGCTACTGCAGCTGTGCTCTCTGTCACTGATTGCCGCCGATCGTCGGGAGATAGCCGGTAAGGACCAGCTGTGACCCGGCAACTGACATCCGCGGCTGTGATTGGCGGGACAGGTAGGGCGGCGGCGCGCCTCGCGCGCGCCCCCTACCTGTTTACAAAACACACGTTTTAAAACGTGGTTTTGCCTGCCCGTGGCGCCCTGCCGCCGTATTTCTATAGTGGCAGGGCAGCAAGTGGTTAAAGACACCTGTCCACCCCACAGTCAGTCATGGGCAAGACCAAAGAGCTGTCAAAAGACACCAAAGACAAAATTGTGGGGCTACGGGGCAATTTCCAAGCAGCTTGGTGAAAATAGATCAACTGTTGGAGCAATTGTTAGAAAATGGAAGAGGCTAAAGACGACTGTCAGTCTCCCTCGGACTGAGGCTCCATGCAAGATATCACCTCGTGGGGTATCACTGATAAGAAAGGTGAGGAATCAGCCCAGAACTACAAGGGAGGAGCTGGTCAATGACATGAAGAGAGCTGGGACCACAGTTTCAAAGGTCACTGTCGGTAGAACACTACGCCGTCATGGTTTCAAATCATGCATTGCACGGAAGGTTCCCCTGCTCAAGTCATCACATGTCCAGGCCCATCTGAAGTTTGCCAATGACCATCTGGATGATCCAGAGGAGGCATGGGAGAAAGTCATGTGGTCAGATGAGACCAAAGAAGAACTTTTTGGTCTAAACTTCACTCGTTGTGTTTGGAGGAAAAACAAGGATGAGTTGCATCCCAAGAACACCATCCCCACTGTGAAGCATGGGGGTAGTAACATCATGCTTTGGGGGTGCTTTTCTGCAAAGGGGACAGGACGACTGCACTGTATTAAGGAGAGGATGAATAGGGCCATTTATTGTGAGATTTTGAGCAACAACCTCCTTCCCTCAGTCAGAGCATTGAAGATGGGTCGTGGCTGGGTCTTCCAACATGACAACGACCCGAAGCACACAGCCAGGATAACCAAGGAGTGGCTCCGTAAGAAGCATATCAAGGTTCTGGAGTGGCCTAGCCAGTCTCCAGACCTAAATCCAATAGAACATCTTTGGAGGGAGCTGAAACTCCGTGTTGCTCAGCGACAGCCCCGAAACTTGACAGATCTAGAGGGGATCTGTGTGGAGGAGTGGGCCAAAATCCCTGTTGCAGTGTGTGCAAACCTGGTCAAGAACTACCGGAAACGTTTGACCTCTGTAATTGCAAACAAAGCATTTCGTACCAAATATTAACACTGATTTTCTCAGGTGTTCAAATACTTATGTTCAGCAGTGCAAGACAAATAAATTCTTTAAAAAAAATTCAGGAAATCACATTGTATGATTTTTAAATTCTGTCTCTCAGAGTAGGAATGCACCTACAATGTGAATTTCAGACCCCTCCATGATTTCTAAGTGGAAGAACTTGCAAAATCGCAGGGTGTTCAAATACTTCTGTTCCTCACTGTATCTATTTGCAGACTGCTTATAGTGAAGTGAATGCAAACACGAGTTAATCACATGAAAACACGCTTGTGAACATTTAACGCCAAAGTTCCCCTTTTCTATTTGTAATGTACTTGATCTCAGTGTTTTCCTCATATTTAAAATGTTATATTTAACCACCCATAATTTGCCAATTTCATGCTCAGATAATTTGCTTGCTCCATATAGACATTCATGCTTTTTAAAACTGAAGGACTTTACAGCAAATTCTATATACATAGGACCCTGTGTGAATAAAAATGGTTGCTGGATTACCAATCCAACTCTCTTCTTAATTTACAGTGCAGCAAAAAGCTGAACCCTAGGGGAATGTCAAAACTGCCCTGCAGTGGGGCTCCCATGCACTGCAAGGGTTAAAAGCTTAGTTTAGGTCTAGGCTAGGCTACCAGCAGTTTTACCTACCTTAATCCTTTGCTCCTCCATCAGTTGACACTTCTGCATTTCCCTCCAATGCTCCAGAATGCAAGCAAGCCCCCAGTGTCCACCCTTACAAGGCAGGACTGCTGGTCCAGCCCTCTATACGGGGATGTTAGAGTCACTGCAACCAAATGAGCATCGAAAAGGCTCGGGTGCTGACTGCACAGAGGAGGAACCTACTACTAAACTTATTCACGATTAACAGTAATTATTTGCTAGAAATGGTACACATGCAGCCACATGTACAAGTGATTGATCTTTCTATTTGGAGCATTGTGCTATTATCAGCAATTCATTGTTGCTACGTGATATACTCCATTATTTCCTAAGGCAATTATTGCTTTAGCAATAACCGCTCATGTGTGCCAAGCCCAAGAAGCATCCGTTTATGTATTGTTCTGGGTTGAAAAACGCTGCTTTTTATTTTAAGCGCAAGCAAATTCTTTTTTTGTTTTTTTCCCCTTTATTTTCACCAGCAATCCTTCCAGTATTACACTTCCTGGCAAAGGGTGACAACACTCACAGTACCATATCTATAGAGGAGCAGATTAGTTGCACCAGGATAGGACTATAGAGTTTACAGTTTATGGAGTTCAGAGAGATCGCTTGGAACAATGCTATCTATAAGAGGAGAGAGCATCAGAGGCACAAATAAGTTATCAGCCCATAAGATTTCTAGCAAGATCAACAGGCTTCTTTTTTGCACCTATAGAATAGGTATGACAGAACACTTATAATAGAACATATCACAAAGCAAGAGAGGGCAAATAAGAGAAATGTATAAGAATTAACATACACTTTAAAGGGTTCGTTCACCTTTACCAAAAAACTGCCTATGCAGATAAGGAGCATCTGTAGATATAAACAAACTATGCCCTAGCAATGGAGGTAAATGGCCTTCACCTATAGCAAGGGCATTATTCACTTTTGTCAGAACTACACAGTTTTTGTTTTTTTTCATCTACAGACACCCCTTACTTGCATAGTCAATTTTTTGGTTTAAGGTGAACTAACCCTTTAAGCTCCATACTTTAACATACAAGAAATATGGAGCATGGCATCTGGTTGCAACAGACTGGTATTCTTCATTGGTCCTAAAAGCAGTCCCATTGGCTGTTTTTATTCCAACCCCCATTTTTTCAGTAGTTCTGATCCTCTATGACTTAGAAAATTATAACCACCAGAGCTTTTGGCAGCTCACTCCGTAAATCCTTACTGTAGAAAGCTGCAGTTAAAGCACATTCACTGCCTTTTTGTTTATCTAAGGATTTGCCATTTGTGAACAGTCCTGTTATTAACCACCTGTCCATCAGGACTTACCCCCCTTCCTGACTAGGCCATTTTTTGCTGTACGCACTGCGTTACTTTAACTGACAATTGCATGGTCATGCAACAATGTACATAGATTAAATGTATGTCCTTTTTTTCCTCCCAAGTAGAGCTTTCTTTGGGTGGTATTTGATCTCTTCTGCTTTTTTATTTTTTGCTCTATAAACAAAAAAAAGACCGACAATTTTGAAAAATAAAACAATATTTTAAAAGTTTTCCTATAAAACCTATCCAGTGAAAAATTTAAAAAATCTAATTTTTTCATAAATTTAGGCTAAAATGTATTCTGTTAAGTCTTTGCTAAAAGATGTGGAAATTAATTGGTTTACATGAAAGTTCTAGCGTTTACAAATGGCGGTATATATACCGGAAGTTTTATTTTTTATTATACTAGTTAGTAATGGCGGCAATCAGTGACTTATAGTGGGATTGCAGCGGGCATTCTGACACTGGGTAGGAACTAACTGCCACTGACTGATATCCCAATGACACCAAAACAGTGATAAATGCTAATAAGTACTGACACTGTACTAATGACACTGGGCAAGAAGCGGTTAACATCTGGGGCAATCGAAGGGTTAACTGTGCGCGGTTTTACATTATGTGCTGTGTGTGTTTTACTACGGAAACATGCTGCTTTGTATTTCTCTGCTGTGCAGCATGTCCTTGCTAGCAGGAGAGAGACCTGTGTTGTTTATCCCGATTATCGCCCCGTGGGAAATCTCCGGCCGGGACCCAGTGATTGACATCCCTAGCCACCAATGGCGGCATGCGTGCCCACTACCTGGAAATGCAAATCACATGTATATATACACACACATGATTTTGCGCAGCCCAGCCTCCCTGTAGCAGTAGTTCTACTATAGGGTGGCAGGAAAGCAGTTAAAGCTTACTACTTGCTCACTAACATATGGGAACTTCCATTGCAGAAGTGGCAAATAGGTCCTTTTTCACATCTTTATATATAGGCATGACTATTAGCTTGGCTGTCATGGTAAGCCTCTGGCTTCAATATTCAGTCACTAACGCAGAACAAGTATACAGATCAGAAGTTTAGACTTCTTTGACTGCATATTTGTTTTGGGCAATTGACTCAAAAAAGTGTTTAAGCCAAACAATCACCAGGACAGCCAGGCAACTAGCATTTCAAAAGGAGGTAATCAATGGCAGCATACACATTTTCCCCACGACAGGTTTCCTTTAAGCATTTTTCCTAAATAAGGATCACAATAAAACAAACATACGGCTTATAACTTTGATGGAATATAAATCAAGATGGAAATGCTGGCATTGATAATTTACTGATGTCAGCATGGATAAATAGCAGTCATTGCTGACCTCCTGAAAAGGCTAGGTGCCTGCTTGTCTATGGCTTCAATACTTTGAGTCACTGACCTGGGGAAAGCATGCAGGCAGTGAAGTCATGCAATGTAATAATCTGTCTCCAAGCATTGATACCATTACGTTCTGTATTGTCTGTTAGTGAGAGAATGCAAGATAAATGGAAAATAAGGACAATTCAAAATTTGAATTATGGGGATGCAAGAATATAAAACCATACCATCTTCACTTGTGTGGGCTTCAGTGCCACCATCATGATCCACTTCATCTAATGTGCCATGTTCACTATATGGGCTGTCACTAGTAATGCAAAGAGATAAAACAGACAAAATACTATTATATGTGATAATATTATTATGCTAGGTCCATTACTACACACAAATTACTATCTCCTAAGGTCACCCTTAAAACCCAATTCTATGAAACTTAAAAAATTATCCCTTTCAGTGGCGCTGAACCCACACTGTTCGGGTTAATTGCTTGTTTAGCTCTAGACTTTTTACAGTAGATTTACAGTGAAGGAAATAAGTATTTGATCCTCTGCTGATTTTGAATGTTTGCCCACTAACAAAGAAATGATCAGTCTAAACATCGAATGGTAGGTGTATTGTAACACTGAGAGACAGAATAGCAACAAAAAATTAAAAAGAAATGAATGTCTAACAAAATTATGCACTTATTTGCATGTTCATGAGGGAAATAAGTATTTGATCCCCTTCACAAAACATGACTTAGTACTTGGTGGCAAATCCCTTGTTGGCAATCACAGAGGTCAGACGTTTCCTGTAGTTGGCCACCAGGTTTGCACACATCTCAGGAGGGATTTTGGCCCACTCCTCTTGGCAGATCCTCTCCAAGTCATTAAGGTTTGGTAGCTGACATTTGGCAACTCGAACTTTCAGCTCCCTCTACAGTATTTCAATCGGATTAAGGTCTGGAGCCTGGCTAGGCCACTCCAGGACCTTAATGTGCTTCTTCTTGAACCACTCCTTTGTTGTGTTGGCTGTGTGTTTTGGGTCATTGCCATGCTGGAACACCCATCCACGACCCATTTTCAAAGCCCTGGCTGAGAGAAGAAGGTTCTCCACCAAGATTTGACAGTGCATTGCCCCGTCCATCTTACCTTTGATGCAGTGCAGTTGTCCTGTCCCCTTAGCACCCCCAAAGCAGAATGTTTCCACCACCATGTTTAACAGTTGGGATGGTGTCCTTGGTGTCATACGCAGCATTCCTCCTCCTCCAAACACGGCGAGTTGAGTTTCTTGCCAAAGTGCTCGATTTTGGTCTCATCTGACCACAACACTTTTGAACGAGTCCTCCTCTGCATCATTGAGATGTTCAGTGGCAAACTTCAGACGGCCGGGACATGTGCTTTCTTGAGCAGAGGGACCTTGCGGGCACTGCAGGATTTCAATCCATGTCGGCGTAGTGTGTTACCAATTGTTTTCTTGGCGACTGTGGTCCCAGCTGCCTGGGGATCATTAACAAGATCCTCATGTGTAGTTCTGGGATGATTCCTCACTGTTCTCATGATCATTGATACTCCACGAGGTGAGATCTTGCATGGTGCACCAGACCTAGGGAGACTGACAGTTGTTTTGTGTTTCTTCTATTTGCGAATAATTGCATCAACTGTTGTCACCTTCTCACCAAGCTGTTTGGTGATAGTTTGGTAGCCCAGTACAGCCTTGTGTAGGTCTACAATCTTGTCCCTGACATCCTTGGACAGCTCTTTGGTCTTTGCCATGGTGGAGAGTTTGGAATCTGATTGTTTTATTGCTCCTGTGGACAGGTGTCTTTTATACAATAAAATGAGATTAGCAGCACTCCCTTTTAAGAGACTGCTTCTAATCTCAGCTTGTTACCTGTATGAAAGACACCTGGTAGCCAGAAATCCTGCTGAATGATAGGGGACAAATACTTATTTCCCTCATGAACATGCAAATCAGTGCATAATTTGTTAGACATGCATTTCTGTTACTATACACCTACCATTCTATTTTTAGATTTATCATTTCTTTGTGAGTGGGAAAACATTCAAAATCAGCAGGGGATCAAATACTTATTTCCTTCACTGTAGCTACCCAATCCTCTGAACTGCTGAACCGGTTCCTGCAGTGTCTTCTCCCTTACGCTTCAGCTCTCTAAAGTCCTGACATCATAGCACTGCATTGGACACAATGACGTTGAGGGACAATCTGCTGCTAAAGTGTGGGGAAGCACTATCTGCTGGGGGGTGGAGGATCCGGTAAGTTAAAGTGCTTCTCTTCTCCTCTCGACTAAACAAGCAGTTAATCCCTGCAGTGTGGGCGCAGCCCCACTGCATAGGATCATTTCCAAATTTTCCAAGGTTGGTCTTTAAAGATAGTATAATTTGCCACAATGCATGGGAGATATCACTATGTTATGATACTATATTTCTGCCTGAATAATTGTAAAGGGAATCTGTCAGTTTAGCTCAGTTTAAAATCACAACTGAAACAAGGCCTATCTGAACACAAATGGACTGCATCAAGTATTTTAAGCAACTATATATAAAATAATGATGTTGGAGTATTAAAGGGTCAAGTAAAAAAAGGATCACATGCCATATGTAATCATTGCTAGAATATAACATATCATCATGACCCTAACATTCTTGTTAACCCAATTACATCAATTGAGCTGCTATGGTGCATGAATCCATCAATGCATGTACTAGGGAAACCATCTCCAGTACTTTACAGGCTGCATCTACCAACAGTGCTAGATAAGCAAAGAAAGACAATGAGAAAAGAGAGAGCAAGAAAAAGGAGGGGGGCAAAGGAGTGAAACATTTTTTTGCTGGCTATTAAAATGAATTAAGCCTAAACCTAAAATGTTGCTCACTTCATTTAAAAAAGGGACAAAACAAAAAAGATCCTACTTTATTATTTCACCGTGCTTCCTCATGATATCGCTTTTTCATACAGGTGAATATATTCAACTATAAATAATGAATCGGTAAACCACAACTGCTAGCATGTGTGACCATTAATAAGACAGAGGGGTCAATTCATTAAAGGTTACTACATGCGATATGAAGTTGACGTGACCTATTTTTTGGAAATATTACATGAGATAATAAGAGTCAATTCATCAAGGTAAAATATTGAATGTGAGGTATACTTCACATCTGTGAACATGGGGGTCAATTCATTAAGAGTTACCATAGATAATGACTGAAAAAATGCAGCAAAATAACGCATGTGGTAAATTTATTTCAAATGTGCAATTCACTAAGAATTTTGCGGTAAATAACTTGTGGTAAAATATCTGTATTGCAGAGATTACAGCACATTTTAATGCAGTAATTTACAGTAACTGGTTAAGGAAGCCAGCCATGGCATCCTTAACAACGGATGACTCATCAGCTGTCAACGAATGTCCCACTGACAGCTGAATGTAAACAAAACAACACAGCAATTACAAATCATGAAAAAAAAACACAAAAAAAAACAGTGTGGGCCCCGCCCCCATCCATACCAGGCCCTTAGGGTCTGGTATAGATTTTAAGGAAGACCCCACACCAAAAAAAAAAAAAAAAAGAAAAAAAAAAGAAAACTGCCGTTTTTTAATTTTGGCATGGGGTTCCCCTTAATATCCATACCAGACCCCTAGGGGGTCTGCTGCATCTGAAAAAATTTCACATGTGATACTGCCAGCAAACCCCTGGTGATAAATATTGCATCTTTTTTTACTTTCTTTTCTGTTTCTGAACTGGAATTAACAGCTTATTGCATGATTTTTTTGCAGTATTTATCAACACATTTTTAATTTTGCATTAAATACCTCAGAATCGTTTATTTTTTGTGAATTGGATATTTTGTTACCACATGTGATATTTATGCAAATGAGTTACGTGACAGTGTTATCGCATGCGAAAAACTTTAGTGAATTGACCCCATAGTGAGGTAAATATTGCAAAAAAAAATGAGATAATTCATTAAAGTCAATTCACTAAAAAAAAAACCCCACAAATTTGTTTTTTATCACATGGTGTTTGCTGGTGGTATTTTAGAAATGTACAAAATAATAATAAAAGAACTCTGTATTAGTTAGGAAGTGAAAAGTATACAATGTATCAACACCAAAAATAATGCAAAATTAGAGGACTAAATATTTAAGAGCATTAGTTTAATAACACGTTTTTTAGTTAATTGACTACTTTTGAGATAAATACAGCACAAGTTATTTTAACTTAAAACTTGCAAAATTTATCTCTTAGTGAATTGAATTCGCTCACTCCTCTGTATGGCCAATTTTGGCACAGGAAACAGATTCAAGTACCTGACCACTGCCTTATTTGGACAATTATGTCACCAGCATCCCCTTCCCTTTGAACACTTCCAGCTCTTTGTGGATGGAGTCTCCTTGCTGGCATCAGAATGGGGCCAAGGAAAAATAATTAACTGCCATGATGCTGGAAGCTACCAGCTTCATAGCAACCAGCGAGCCCTGTGCAGGAAGCTTTTCTATTCACGACAGCTTCCCAGCACAAAATGCCTCACTCTGAGCACTGGTACCTCTCTGTACATCCACTCAGATTTGGCCTTATTGATCATCTGTGGACTGGCGGCAAAATCTGTCACAGACATAATGACAGATTCTAAAAGTGCCAGTAATAAGAACTACCTGAATTTGGCACACCTGTCAGAAAGCTTTGTGAAATTGTCACAAAGCTTTCCTGGCCATTTATAAGGGGCCATACTGCCACAGTTGTATCGGCTTTACTGAATTTCTCCTACATGCATAAACAATTTACATAAGAAATGATGCAGTCTGGATTGCCCATGGTAACCTTTCAAGAAGCTGCAGTTAGTTATACTTTGGAGTAAACCTAGATGCATCCTAGACAAAAGTCACCCTTTACAGGTTTTATTTATACTGTATAGATTTACAAGGCATCATGTCAAATACAACGTAAATGTATATTAAATTACAGGATCTATTAAGTTTGGCAAATGAATAAAGAAATGAATAAATTGGGGAAAATCCAACTATGCAGAAAACAGAAAAGGTTACATATTATGCTGCAAAAAAAAATTTCTTGACCTACCAGTAGTCATCTCCAGCCATGCATTTCTCATAAACTGGACCCTCCAGCTCTTTAGCATCTGGGAAAATGCTTTCATGATGAATGATGATTGTTTTAATTATTTCATTCACGTGAGCCTGGCAGGACACTTGGTCTTGTATGTCAGGAACAGGCATTAATGTGGGGCCAAAACAAATGGCCAGGTTATATGGGTCCATCATATTCTCATCACTATACTGAGAGAGGCTGTAAAGAGAACGAAAAAAAAAAAAAGAAGAAGCAATTTAAAGAGGCAGGCTCATTTTCAAAGCACCAGCAAATTCTGCCTAACTGCACGAGGATACAATGAAATTAAAAAGACAGGAATAGACACAAATATAAACATGAACAGAACATGAGGAAAAAGTTAGCCAGAAGAATTAGATGGTCTGTACAGACACCCATTGCATTAGCCTATCTTTGTAGACCAACAGCTGGGAACTGTTAAAATCCAACAGCTTATGCTCCTTTATGGTTTTGTAAAGGTAATTGGACACAAAGCAAAATACAAATGTATGAAAGCTTTTACAGAATCTGTTACTCTCAGTATTCCAAGCCACATATCAAGTTTCAGGAGTCCTGCAAATAGTAGGCGTCTCATTAGCCAGGAAAATGTCCTGATCCTTCTCACACAGGTTTTCAACATTGAGGCCGATTAGATTTGAAGCAGAAGTTTTTTTAAGTCAAAAATAGTGCATAAGCTTGCAAATTATAAATCTAGTGGCATCTCCAGAAGGTCTTCCAGCTGTTCAAGTTTGCAGGACCTGGGTTTTTTTAGGACCTCTTGGCTTTAGCTTCTCTGGCTGAAGGGATCAGAGGTTGTAGGCCATCTACATCTTCCACTCAGTAAGTAATTCTAGGAAAGGTTTACCTTTGGGAGCATGTTACATGTGTCCACTTGCCCACTCCTGCAGCCTATCACCAATCCCACCCCCCCACCCCCATTGTGACATTGGGCCGGGGATCTTCTTCCTGCACCTGTTTTGTGGCTCCACCCACACAGCTACATCATTCATACACAGACATTTGTGAATGAACGAACGAACAAGTACCGACAGCCTGTTAGGCAAAGATAGTACGCACCATGTCAATTAGTGTGTCCACATTAGAAAGCATTTGGCCTGAAGCTGCAGCTTGTACCTCATAAAATGCAAAGAAATGAAAATACTCTGAAGCCTCAAATATAAAATCAGGGTACTCAATACTTTCCTTGATAATATCCTCAAGGAAAGCAGGTTCTGTTTCTGAATCCTGAACAGGACCTGGGAGAGCAGAGTACAGGTGGTGTTTCTGGCCTCTGGAAACGGAAGGTTCTAGAAGTGCCAAGATTTTTCTAAAGAATCCAGATATAGTGACAGATATATCCGCTTTAGTCATACAGGCCGCATTTTGCATGCCTGAGAGAGTGCCAGAGTCACATAATGCAAGTGCTTTAATAAGACACTGCTTCAGGAAAAAAGAATGACTCCCATCACTCCACGAGGTGGTTAGACCTGCATGTTGGCCGTCTGCAGAATGCATATGATTTGGCCCTTTTGTTCCACCTCTCTTGCATCTTGGATACGCCATTGCTAAGTGAGGAGATCCTTAACGGGGTACTCACTAACAATTGGGCGCAATAGAGACATGGAAGCAGGGGCGGACTGACAACTCATGGGGCCCCCGGGCAATAGGGGATGATGGGGCCCCTGTGTCCTTGCCCAAACTCAAAAAAGCCTATGAAAAAAGGTACCAGGGGCATCTCATGGGGCCCCCTACTGACCCCGGGCCCTCGGGCAGTGCCCGAGTTTCCAAATGGTCAGTCCGCCCCTGCATGGAAGCTATACGCGACAGCCATCTTGCTAAGGTCTCTGCATTTTGGTTTCATGAGCAGTTTTCCTATTTTTCCCCCTACTCCTTTGCAAACAATGGAATTTGTAGTTGTAACTTTTAACGAACTTCAAAAGAGCCTCTTATCTTAATTAAAACACAAATAGACGCCAGTGTCCAGCGCTATAAACAGCCAATTAGCCTTGGCAGGATGTCTGTTTCCAGGAACCATGAAAAACACTTTTCTCTGCCCTATCGTAAAACAATAACTCAGTCAAGCATGTCACACATGACCTGTAAAGTCATTAGAGCTCTAGGAATGCAGAGCGTGCCATAAAACGTCTATTCCACATGTAACAATTCCACATACAGATCACAGAATTCAATAGGAACAGGGCACATTAATATTAGGTATATATTTGAATAGGGAATATCATACAGAACAAATCAAGGTCATACAAGACTATGTTAGCACATAGGAAAGGGGAGAAAGCAGTCTCTTCCCTCCTGGGTGACAAAGGTACACTGTGTTTGGTATCCCTGGGTTCGAAATATAATTCTGAATATTAATCTGCCAGTTGCTAGAATACCACTTGCACGTATTGGAAGTTGTAATATTAGTATAAAACTATAGTCCGGACCTGATCATAAATTTGTTGACCTCCTTGCACCCATCACTTAAACTGGATTATTGATCAGTTGGTCTCTGTCCACATCCCCTTGATATCATAGAAAAGGGGATGACAAGGCTTGTTAAGATTGAGCTCTTGTTTAACATCAATCAAGGAACATCTTAACGGACTTGAGAACCAAGGCAACGTTTTTGCTCGGACAACTAGACTCTGCTAAAACCAGGACTTTGCAAGTATTCTTAACGCCTTTCCTTTATTTCTCTGTTGCTTTATTGTTCTCTTTATGTTTTTGTAACATCCCTTAATGTAAATATTTAAATTGCACCATTTTAAACATTTTAATAATAAACCCTATTTTGAAAAGTGTTGAAACTGTCTCTAAAGCTTTTTTAATGCAAACTAAAGAATCCGTGTCTCTTGAAAAGTGTTACTGTAAATAATAATCCTCTGAATATACCTGTCTGTGGTGACAGTGTGTGTTACAGGCGTTTATTGTTCACATTTGTTCTTGCTAACATTGTGAAGGGCTGACAGTCCCAAAACTATCAGGTGGCAGTTTGGAGTTTAAAGGGTTAATTGTGTAATTAACCCAGTGACAATCGCTCTCAGGCTGCTGGCACAGACTGTGGTCCTGCAAGCTGAAAAATCTTTGTGCAGGGTGCAGCTGAGAGTGGCATTGTTATGTAACAGCGCGGTGTGAAATTGGCTGGTCCTTTGTCACGAGTTTGTGAGAAGGGCAGGGGTCGGGCACCGCGTTTGTCACACTCACGGTTACAAGGTGTGGATTAGATGGGGTTGTGTGTCCAGATATAGGAGCAGCTATAACCTAGGCGATAACCATGTTCCTGTGGCTGTATCTCAGTAGATGGCAGCAGAAGTGCAGTAATGCACAATTAAGAGTATGTGCAATTTCGTCAGAAAAGGTGTTCAGGAAAGTGCTAATCAGAAGGCATGAAGCAGCTACCTCATCCTCCTGTGATTGACAGGGGGAGAAAAACTGGCAGGTTTAAATTGCTTGCGCTGAGAACGTTTGAGACAAAATGTCAGGGGTTACCAAAATAAAGTGAACACTACCCTAATCCTCTGCCTATAGAACTGCAAAATGTGCTAAACACTGTGGGCTATATTATTAAAAGCCAGAAACCACTGTGAATACACAGGGAAATCCCGTCTTACCTTACCCACGATGCTGGACCTATTAGAGGTTCAGACTTTGACCATCGCAGTGGGCATACCCTCTTTAGTCTGTAGACATTGACTACAGCCCTGACCCTTTATAGCACCCTCTGGCTACCTATACACATTGCAGTATGTGCCGAGGTGAATGCCTATTGCAGGATCCAGTGCCCAAAGCAAATATAAAAGGCCAACCCCACACAGTGGGTCCAGTGCCCCAAAGTTCACTCTCAGAATAACCAATCCAGAAAACTTCAAATTATCTCGGAGGAGTAAGCTGTTAGATCTTGATAGAAAGTTCAGATTAAAAAAAATGAATTTTAATAAATAATTCTCCAGAGGAGAGCAGGTTCCTCATCTAAGGACACTAGCAAAAATGGGGTCTGCTGCAGTGTATGAGATTATATGGTATATTCTGGGCGGCCCAAGCAAGTTTTTATCAGTGTCCAATCAACTAAAAGGTAGCTGCATATAAAACATGTTCTTTGAATACAACTACTGTGTCCTGTACTGTTCAGTTAGGGCTGCTTTCAAACTGATAAGTTTTTCTTCCACGTTTGTGCTAAAAAAAAAAAAAAAAAAAAATAATAATAAAAGCAGAAAAAAAAAAAAAATGCGTGACCATGTATTCCAATGGATCTCCTCACACTGATCCATTGCAGATCAGGTGCGTTTTTAAAAATCCTGCTGGTAGCAATTTTAGTACAGGTTTGCTGCAGTAATAAAAACTGCACCAAAAATAAAAACCTCTTCAGTGAAATTCATGGAAAATGTGGCAAAAAACTCATCCGCAGTGTGTTTTTTGAGCCACATGTTTTAAAAAAAAACACACTGCAAACGTGGATTTCTGACATGTATCAGTGTGAAAGTAGCCCAAGATAATGTTTCATCACACATCTATTTTCTATAACATGGCTTGGTTATCTCAAAATTTGACACTTTTTTGTCAAGACATGGAACACTACTTACTGGTTAAGGAATGCAAAGAGATATCTCATGACTATCAGCACAGTCCTGGGTAATGTCAATAGGATTTTTCTGATGTGGATGGCCCTCTCACAGAGATTCTCCACTCCTGTGAATAGAACACACACATATATATAATATATATACAGAACTTAATTCCTATTTTCTTGTAACCAGATGTATACTATAAATGTCACTTTTCTTGAAATATCCATGCATATCCAAGAAGTTGTCACCATGGTCCATGGTTTCCTTATTTTTTTTTTTTAATGAAAAACATTTTTGAGATCAGTTATCTTTAGGGTGGAAAGCAGAACTTTAAAGTGATGTGTGCAGATTTTCTCCTTTCTTCTGTAAAGCCACAAACTTAAAGAGGAAGTGAATTCTGAAAGTTGTACCCAGAAAAGGGCAGGCAAAGAGCCCAGTCCCCAATATTGTCTGTGGTCTCCCTGCAGCTAATCTTTTCCATGATTAGTACCTCGTTCACGGTGTCTCTGCATGTGGGAGGCCAGCTTAGTATAGGCAAGCCTTTGCTTCCTCATACCAGATTTGACTTGTATCTTAGTGCAGATTTCTGGGAAAATCAGTGAGCCAATCACACAAGTAGCAAATGCCATTTCTAGGGGCATTCCACACACCAATGGTGTACGGAACGCCCTCACATGGCATTGAATTTGTTACTAAATTACTCCAAGTTACTAAATTACTCCAATCAAATGTAGATCGAATTTTTTATTTTTTTTATTAAATGGATATTTAATCAAATTTGTAGAAAATTAAATTAGATATGGCTTGTCTATCAAATTATATGCTTTTTTAAATTTGCTATATTTCTGTGAAAGTGGAGTTATCCTTTAAATACTTTGAGCAAAAGAGGCAAACTTTAAAGTGAGAAAGTTAATTTTATACAGGGTACAGTTACATAGTTGGTGAAGTTGAATAAAGACATCACTCCATCCAGTTCAACCTGTGTAGGTGTGTGTGCGCATTTATGTCTCTAGCACTTCCCAAATCCCTGATACTAATCGCGCTAAGAGTTTTTGAAATTGTTAATACTTCCCAGTGACACCATTGATTGTGGAAGCGAGTTCCACATCTTTACTGTTCTAACAGTAAAGCACCCATTACACAGGTTAAGGTTAAACCATTTCTTGTACAACTTCATTCAGCAGCCACATGTCCTCTTGAGCAACCTGTGACTGAACAGTTTTCTCCATATGCTAGAATCGCCAAATACATTTTTCAAATTAATCTCTAGTGCTAACAAGCGAAAAAGAAACTTCCTGGCCAAATGTATAAATTGCAAGCATGTTCATGAAAATTGCATATTCTTAACCTGCTTCTGTTCAGTAAGAAAAAAGGCATTCCAGTACATGTACCATTTAGTAAATGCTAGTGGGAGGTTCTTCCTACTATAACAACATGATCAGTCCCGGTATTGTATTAAAGTATTTGTGAAGCAACTCCAACAAAGGCACAGCATAGTATATGAAATTCCCTACAACTCTAGTAACATTAAAAAAAAAAAAATGTTTTTATTTTTTGGTCCATTGTTTTATGACCTACCCAAAATATTCCATCATAGGAAATGTGTCTTTTTATGAACTTCTAAATATAATATTTTGTAGTTCGAGAATAGATGAGTAGCTTGAAATACACTGTGATGCAGGCAGTTTTCAGAAGGTTAAAGTGGTTGCAAAGGCTGAAGGTTTTTTACCTTCATGCATTCTATGCATGAAGGTAAAAAAAACCTTGTGTGTGCAGAAGCACCCCAGCCCCCCCAATACTTACCTGAGCCCAGTAAGCAGCCCATCACGATCCAGCAATGTGCACGGCATTCTCAGCTCTCCGACGACTCTCCCTCGTCATTGGCTGAGACAATGGCTCCCAGTTGATATTAAAGTTGCCTTTAATATCACTTTCATTTCTGACAAGGTAAATACATGCAGTTAAATCCTAACAGCACCTGAATCTTATGCTGTTTGGAACTGAACCCAAACATTTAAATGTGAAATGTCAGCTTGCATCTGTAGTTTTCTAGCATGGGATACAAAATTAAAGTGATTGTAAGGCGCTTTTTTTTCTAAATAAAAAGGGTATACTTACCTGTTCTGTGCAAAGGTATTGCACAGAGTGGTCTCTTACCTCCTCTTCTGGAGTTCCCTGCTGGCGCTGTCTGCTCGTCTTCTTGTTTGGGCGCCCCCCTGAGCCAGGCTTTGTGACACACAATGCAGCTCGGCCACAGCCCCCATTCCCTCCTTGCAGGATTCGACTGACAAAATGCTTTAACTTTAGGACCATTTTAAAGGCATAATCTGACTGGTTGGTATAGACAACAAATTCTCTTCCCCTGCTCAAGTTTTGACAAGTTCTCTTTGTTGCATTTGAAAAGTGTAACCTGCTGCTGTTAGGGTCTACTCTGCATAATAACATCTGCGGTACCAAACGGCAGAAGGATGAGGGCCCTTCCATGTTTCTAAATGGGGTTTAATTCAAACAGGATTAACATTTTTTCTTGGAAATCACATTTAATACATAAGGGCCATTATCTACTATACTTGGATTCACTTCAAGAATTTTGTTTTGACCATTTTGACCTGTCTACATCCTGCAGTGAAACCCAGTGGCTAAGCCTACACAGAGATATTGGTAACAAGACCGCTTTCTCTGTCCAAAAGGAAATGTGTGAACCTTTAATAAAATTACCACTGCTGAATCAGAAAGCAGGCATAGCATAGGGAGTCAAGGGACAACTTAAAATATAGCTTGTACTGGACAGAAATTAATTGTGATGTGGTTTTCTGTGAATATGAAAACACTTAGGAAATACGTTTTTCAGTTACTTAATCCTTCATTAGGGGCAGATGGCAAGTTGATGCAGTGTTGGGCTTGCCAGCAGCAAGACAGCTTATATGTGCTCTAAGATTTCACTTCTCTGCAACTTTCATTACCATTTTTTCTTCATTTATTGCTGCAGTGCATGTACAAACATACTCTAAAATTCCTGAGTGTTGCTGATGGTAGTAAACTTGTGTGACACTGCATAAAAAAATGGTGTCATTTCAAGCCTTAAGACCTGCAAAAGAAATTCTATATGCTGGTATTCATACAATAGGGATTTTCCTGACTTGCGGCTTTTACATGTTTTTGCTGAAATAGATATTCTATGGTGATGTCTTGTGTCAACGTTTTACATAAAAGGATACTAGTTTTATATCACAAATAAAAGTTGGATATAACAACAAAAGAATATGAGTACTTTCGATTACAAAACATACCTCCCTTTATCAGACTCTTACTGTTGCCAAGTCAAGCTCATTGTTTACTAGCTCAGTGCTCTCTGCTTCCATTACAATTCAACAAGCACCAGGCTTAGGACAATGTCTAGTCATTAAAAACGATGGCCTGAGTTCCAAGCCCCCATCTTCAACCCAAGTTAACATATTTGTTAGGCATACTGCCATTTGTCTCAGTAGTCAGATCTTGGTCTCAGCTTGACAAAATGTGCTAGATTGTAATAGGAGGAAGAAATGGAGAGCAAGTGGAGACAAAACTAATGTACATCAGTGGTAAGTCCTATTTCTGCTTGATGGAAGAATATTTTAAATAATTGTTTTTTAGATAAACATTTGTATTCTTTAACCTCTTGCCGACCGCGCATAGCCGAATGACGGCTTCACCGCGGCTGGCCAGTTCTGGGTGGACGTCATATGACGTCCACCCAGAACGCGCTCTCCTGCGCGCCCCAGGGGGCGCGCACCCGGTGATCTCCGTGATCGCTGTGTCCTACGGACACAGCTGATCACGTGATGTGGTAAAAGGCCAATCACAGCGGCCTTTTACCACCTGATCAGCGGTGTCCAATGACACGCTGATCAGAGGGAAATGCAAGTGCCGGTTCTCGGCTGCACTTTCCTCACGCTGTCAGATCGTGAGGAAAGTACTGCCGAGAACCGGCAGTTGTCAGAGCGGGGATCGGCACTGATGATCAGTGCCCTGATGATCGGTGCCCAGCAGTGCCACCCGCAAGTTCCGCCCAGCAGTGCGCCCACTAGCTCCGCCCACCCGTGCCCAGCAGTGCACCCACCTGTGCCCAGCAGTGCACCCACCTGTGCCACTCTGCAGTGCCACCTACCTGTGCCCAGAAGTGCCACCTACATGTGCCCAGCAGTGCCACCCACCTGTGCCCACCAGTGCCACCCACCTGTGCCCACCCACCAGTGCTGCCCACCAGTGCCACCCACCAGTGCCCAGCACCCACCAGTGCCACCAGTCAGTGCCCAGGGGTTGTGCCAGTCAGTGCCGCCAGTCAGTGCCCAGCAGTGATGCCAGTCAGTGCCGTCTATCAGTACCCATCATCAGTGTCACCTATCAGTGCTGCATATTAGTGCCGCCTATCCGTGACACCTCATTAGTACTGCCTATCAGTGCCCATCAGTGCCGCCTATCTGTGCCCATCAGTGCTGCCTCATCAATGCACATCAGTGAAGGAGAAATAATGCCTGTTTGAAAAATTTTATAATAGAAACAAAGAAACTTTTTTTTTTTTTTCAAATATTTTGCACTTTTTTATTTATAGCGCAAAAAGTAAAGCGCCCAGCGGGGAGTAAATACCACCAAAAGAAAGCTCTATTTGTGAGGAAAAAATGATCAAAATTTCATATGGGTACAATGTTGCATGACTGCGCAATTGTCAATCAAAGTGCGGCAGCGCTGAAAGCTGAAAATTGGCCAGGTAAGGAAGGGGGTATAAGTGCCTGGTAGGCAAGTGGTTAAACACTAGTTCTGTAACCTACGGGAATCACTCTGCTGAAGCCAGAGTAGGACAACACCAGTTATGATACTTTCACAATTAGTATTAAGGGGTAACTGTACTTTTAAAGCATGTTAGTTCCTTAGATACATCCAGGGATACTCTACCAAAATTTTGAATATAGCATTATCTATCTTACTGACCACCCATGTAAGGTGTTTCTTCTTGCACTGACCACCAACATAAGGGGTTTGTGCTCTCACAGACAACCAATGTAAGGTGTTTCAACTCTCACTGATCTGCATTGTAAGCAGTTCTTTTTTTCACTGACCACCAATGTGAGGAGTTTTAACGCT